TTCTAAATAATTAAAACATTTAATTTAATACCATTATTGATTTATTTAATTCTTGTATTTTTAGGTAATCTCTAGAATTTGAATATAATTCACAACTTTGTTCTAATACTTTATTAATTGTATCAGAAAAATATTTTTAAGGCTTTCGCTATTATCACTATCATATAAGTTCTGGTATCACTTTTTAAAAGTATTACTCTTTGATTGATTCTATGAAATATTTTTAATGAATTAACTAATTGACAGATAGTTTTGTAATAAGTGCTCACTAGTTATTTACCTACATTAAATTAATTGGATTAAATGATTTCTATGTTTCTATATAGTCAACCAATTAATAAATGTGCAATACTCAAACTTCAATTAAAATTACTGGTTTATTTGTTATTTTATTAACATCATTATGTTCTTAACATGTGTGTGKGTGGGTATCTGAAAGACACTAATACATGGGTGGTCACAGAGGCTTGCAGGTCGCATGCAGCTCTTGAGTTAATCTCATGCAGCTCTTAACACAAAGTTTTGAGTAAAATTAATTAATATAATATAAAAAGTACTTCTCAAAAGAAAAATCTCATTCCTTAATGTAAACCTGAATAGTAATGTCCTTTGTAGTGTAAAATATATATGTTCCTAGATGTTTTATAAACATATCTTAACAATGTTGCTTGTTTTGAATTAGCTTTTATTATTGTGGCTCCTAAAATTAATATTAGTGACCACCCCTGCACTAATACATTTCGATGTAGGTATTACATTGTGATTCTTCCGCACACCATAGGTACAAACTAATCTCAAATAACATTTTTATTTAATATGATCAGTTTAATATGATCACCGGAGAATCTGACAAAAAATGCTCAGAATGCTGGCCAATAAATTATTAACTTATATTATCAATATATTAATACTAACTAGGGATGGGCCGATATCACTTTTAACTGATAAACCAATATGTTATGCAGATTTAAATCCGATAACCGATGTATTCAAAACTTTGAATTTCTATCCAAAAGCATGAACCGATATTATAAAATACCCGATAATA